GTCGGTCGGGTCAGGCCGGGTCAGGTCGGGTACCCGAGGGCCGGGTCGACCCTCCGCAAATGTCGACCCGTCCCGTCAAAAAGTCGACCTCGGGTCGGGTTACCCGACTCGACCCGACCCGTTGCTCACCTCCAGATGTCCGTCTGCCGTCACCCACTGGTGGCGCGGGGCTGTTCTCGGTACCCACGTCCCCTGGTACGACATCACCGAGCTGCACACCTCCAATGACGACCCCGCCGCCGCCCCCTACGTTGTATGCAGAGGGTGGGGGTCATGGATAAGAGGGGCGAGGCATTGCGGGGCAGGTTGGCTTCGCTTCTCCAGATGCCTCCCCACACCTTCCTTCCCAGCATCCCGATGCTCACCTTGCCGAGCTATGAAATCCTTTCCTTTGCGATCACCGCCCCATCCTGCCCCCTCGGCGAGTATGTACCCCCCGTTCTTTCTCCAGGTGTACAGCGGCAAGTTAAGAGCCACGCCTGGCAGTTCCCGGTTCGGCCTTGTGAGGAGCTCCTCGGCGGTTGCTGCGCCACCCTTCACCCGACGCTTGAATTTGTGGCTGTACGCTGTCTTGTGCTCGCTGACAAGGCTTCGAGCTGCAGCCCCGTCGGCCTGCGAGACTGGGCACAGTGGAATGTTCTAGGCCGTTTTGGGTGACAGCATTAGTGGGGCGGTGCAAGGTAAACACACCAGGGTGGGAGCATAGAATCGCGCTTACCAGCATGGTAGGCTGCCTCCTCCAGACTCTTGATGGCGTCCTTAGCATGCTGCGCCAAAAAGTACAACAGATCATCCATGCTTGCGACCTCCTCCTCCAGCCCCAAGAGCACTGTCAGCCCTAGTCTCTGCACCTTTACTATCGGTTGCATGTGGCATGTGATGTTCACACTACCCCCCTTTGACTCCACCAAAGCTCTTAGTGCTCGTGGTGCTCTCGGGGTAGCCATTGCTAGCACGTGTATTGCACAAACCTGCGGGGGGGTAAGAAGTGTGACACAGGTGCAAGTGTGTAGCGTGTGTGTGGACGGTGCAGCGAGAGGCATTGAAGCCCTAGTTGGCGAGTGGGTGGTGCAGCCCATGTGTGCTTGGTGCAGACAAGGCTACGAGGTTAGGCGCGTGTGAGCTTTGAGCAGCCAAGACGGAGAGAGGTGGCGCGTGTGTGCTTGCTGCAGCAAAGGCAGGGAGGTGCAGTGCGTGTGTGCTTACTACAGCAAAGGCAGGGAGGTGCAGTGCGTGTGTGCTTGCTGCAGGGACGGAGAGGTGCAGTGCGAGTGTGCTTGGTGCAGCAATGGCAGTGAGGTGCAGTGCGTGTGTGCTTGCAACAGGGACGGCAGGGAGGTGCAGTGCGTGTGTGCTTTGAGCAGCCAAGGTAGTGAGGTGCGGTGTGTGTGTGCTTTGAGCAGCCAAGGCTGCGAGGTGCGGCGCGTGTGTGCTTTGAGCAGCCAAGGCTGCCAGGTGCGGCGCGTGTGTGCTTTGATCAGCCAAGGCTGCGTGGTGCAGTGCGTGTGTGCTTTGAGCAGCCATGGCAGGGAGGAGCAGCGTGCGTGTGCTTGCTGCAGCCAAGGCAAGGAGGTGCAGTGCATGTGTGCTCGCTACAGACAAGGCAGTGAGGTGCGCGCGTGTGCCCTCGCTGCAGACAAGGCAGTAAGGTGCTGCGTGTGTGTGCTTTGGGCAGCCAAGGTAGTGAGAGGTGGCGCGTGTGTGCTTGGTGCATCCAAGGCTGCGAGTTGCGGCGTGTGTGAGCTTTGAGCAGCCAAGGCTGCGAGGTGCGGCCCATGCGGCTTGAAGCAGCCTAGGCTGCGAGGTGCGGCGTGTGTGTGCTTTGAGCAGCCAAGGCTGCGAGGTGCGGCCCATGCGGCTTGAAGCAGCCTAGGCTACGAGGTGCGGTGCGTGTGTGCATTGAGCAGCCAAGGCTGCGAGGTGCGGTGTGTGTATGCTTGGTGCAGCCAAGGCTGCGAGGTGCGGCGCATGTGTGCTTTAAGCATCCAAGGCTGCGAGGTGCGGCGCGTATGTGCTTTGAGCAGCCAAGGCTGTGAGGTGCGGCGCGTGTGTGCTTAGAGAAGCCAAGGCTGCGAGGTGCGGCGCGTGTGTGCTTTAAGCAGCCAAGGCTGCATGGTGCAACGCGTGTGTGCTTTGAGTAGCCATGGCTGCGAGGTGCAGCGCGTGTGTGCTTTGAGCAGCCAAGGCAGGGAGGTGCGGCACATGTGTGCTTTTAGCAGCCACAGTTGCAAGGTGCGGCGCGTGTGTGCTTTGAGCAGCCAAGGCTGCGAGGTGCGGCACGTGTGTGCTTTGAGCAGCCAAGGCAGTGAGGTGCGGTGCGTGTGTGCTTTGAGCAGCCAAGGCTGCGAAGTGCGGCGCGTGTGTGCTTGCTGCGGACAAGGCAATGAGGTGCGTGCGTGCAGCAGGAGGGAATATGGTGCAGTGCCTCAGAGTGTGGTGCAGCGGGAGGCTGTGCACTGCAGCGTAACGTCCCTCAGAGCAGCAGATGGACCCGTGATGCGACGTGAGGGAGTATGCCACTCGAGCGTTTCATGGGGGTGCGGATCTCCCGGGCGAGAGTGGGGGGCTTCCCACTTGGGAGTGAGGTGCAGCGGGGCCGTCGGTGGTTCAGCAGGAGGGCGGGGCACTCTGTGCCGGGGACTATGGTAGAGAGAGCTTGTGGGCGGTGCAGTGGGCTGGGGTGCACGGCAGCGCGTGAGAGTGGGGTGCAGCAAGTACGTGAATGGTGCGGCCCTTCAGAAAGCGGGGCAATGAGAGGTAATGCTGTGCAGACGGCGGGGATGTGGCGCAGCGGAACGGCATGAGGTCGTGGGGGTTGGCGTTTAGAGGCGGGAGTGAGTGGCGTGCGGTGTGAGGGAGTGTGGTGACGCAGAGGGGACTCGCGGACGACAGTATGGGTGGGGGCGCGGTGCAGAGCGTGTCCCAACCCCCCGATGGGAGGGGTTTTCGTGCCGCGGGAGCGTGCTTGGTGCAGGGGAGCGAGGGAGTTGATGCGAGACCTAGTGGCGGGGGTCCGTCGTCCGTTTCTCACGTTTTATCAGGCGCGTGTTCGGCGCGCCTGTCTTCGGTCGCCTTCCTTCGGGCGGAGGCCTCCAGGCGCGTCTCCACTTCCCTTTCCCCTCGTTTTTATGCAGTGCGAGCCCCTCCGGCCTTGTCGCGCAGGCCGCAGGTTTGTAGTGATCGAATTAGTTTATCACAGCTCCTTTCCCCCTGCCACGTCTCTGTCGAGTCTACCATGCGCTTGGTGGCTATCGGGAATTTCTAGGGTTCCCTCTCATTCTCACGACTCTGGAGTTGGCATTCAGTTGATGATGTTTGGGCGCACGTCGTGGGTTGCCCCCTCGTCGCCATAGGTAATTTTCCGAGCCTTTTGGTTGCGTGTTGGGTGTCGCTTTGGGTGTTATGGCTCGCGTGGCTGGTCCTGTTTGTGGGGCTACTTTGCATGGCGACGAGGCTTCAGTATTTGCGATTTTGTTATATTTGAACACCCCCCTTGACGCGCTCAAAACTGTATGTTTTGTAATGGTCGCCGAGTGTCGCCAATCCAAGTCCCTCCCTTCGCCACACCTCCCTGTCGCCCGTCGTTTCGCCCCCACCTCGCGAAGTTGGCGAGCGGGACCAAGAATCAAAGACTTTGAGTCTTGGTCTTACTTGGGTCATGCGCTTTAAGACACGCCCTAGCAGAGCGTAAAAACCACCTTTAAAGATAAACTTACTCAACCTCACTAAGGGCATGTCCAGCGCGTTCATTTTGCCCCAATACGAGTTTTTGACTTTTTTTTTAACACGCCGAAATATTGATTCGCCAAGTGTGAATGTGTTGAGGTACACCTACAGTATCAACAGCAAAACGCGCGGACACGGGCCCCGCCCGTGTCTTGACAAATGAGCGGGTGCGCAGCGCGCACATAACAGACTGTCACGCGAAAACAGCAGGGTAACGAAATTTCGCACCGAGAAAGAGGCCACGCCCGCTTTCTCGAACACGCATCACGAGCCGCGACTCCACCCAGAGGGGGAAAATGGAGGGCTCACTTTCCCCCTCGCCAAAGGAAAAAAACACAGAAATACATGACGAATTCCAATTCTTCTTCCGCCTTTTTCGCCGTGCTTTGCAAGCGTCACGAAAGCCTGGCGAATGTAAGCGTTCGATTTTTCGCCAGCCAGGTTTTGGATGTTTCTGCTGTATATATAATTTGGGCACGATTTTCATTCGTTTCGAAAACGTGCGGCCCACGTCTGTGGGCACATTTGGAGGGTGTCCGCCAAAACCGTCAATTTATCGTGCGTGTCCGAATGGACACAAATGTTTGGGTTACCAGGTTGAAATTTCGTACCTGATATGCAAAGTGAATAGTAAACGAACAAGCTGGACACGCCCTAAAGAACTAAACTGTACATGTACTGCACCCTCCCTAAGGCGTGTATCATGTGCCAAACACACGACGTCACCCGACTTCCCAACGGGGTACAATGCGTTTTCGCACGATTGAGAATTTCTCTGTGCGTTCAAAATCGGTGACTCGACGTCAAACCGTGACGTCGTGGTGTTCAGCCGTACTTGATACAACACCCCCTAATCCTTTCGGGTTGGGTTGGGTGGGTCCATTCCATTTGTGAACAGAAGTAGGCGGCAACAGTTAGAAGTATCGCGAAAAAATATCTGATGCCTCCAGCCAATGGGAAGCGTGAAATAAAATATCTGATTGAGCTTTTGCCCTAGAAAAATATGAAAAGTTGTACAGATGCATGAGAAAAGTACACGTACTGGAGTCATACGTCAGCGATCCAAAATCCTTGTTCCTCATTGGGGATTCTCTGGCGCGCTGTGCTGACGGCGACACTTTGTTTGCTGGTTAGAAGAATTGGTGGGCAGGCGAGCAGACAGCACACGAGATACCTCGTCATCTCATCCGTCCGCCTGCCTTTTGTGTGCCCGCCGATCGTTGAGATGGATGAACCACAAAGCCTCTTGGGGATCTGCCGGTTCATTCTAAGTTTTCGAATCTCGATTTCCCTGCACGACAGCATCCTAGACTAGGGTTTGGTGGAGGCTGGGGAGAGAACAGCCATTTTCATCTCTTTGATCTGCAGACGACACTACTACTCTGTACGTACTTGACCTCAGAGCAACTACGCTCTCTTTCCTTACAAGGCGGGGTTCATTATTTTAATTTACGTTGTATTCTACTGTTGTCGAGACGCCAGTGTTTTGCTTGCTGCGCCCTGATTGTGTATCCTCCTAATTAGGAATTGATGCTGTTACGTTCAGTCCCCGAACCCAATGGATGACATCAGAGGTCCTGTAGTGGGCCAGCAGCATGGCGTGTACCCGGAAGGCCGTCAGCAACAGCACCAGCAGCAACAGCAGCAACAGCCGGCTGCGAGTGTCGATGGTGTCCAACCGTTAGGTTGGCAGAGCAGTGAGCTAGGGTTGCTGCAGCAGCAGCAGGCTCGCATGCACCAGCAACTCCTGATTCAGCACCAGCAGCAGTGGTGGCAGCAGCGACAGCAGCAGCACTACTTATTGCAGCAACAGTCTCTGCAGTGCGAACAACAGGAGTTTCAGCTTTTGCAGCTGAGGTCGCAACTGTGGCAGCAGCAGCACCAGCAGCAGCAGCAGTCACAGCAGCAGCAGCCGCAGCAACCACAGCTGCAGCAGCCGCAGCCGCAGCCGCTGCAACAGCAACTACAGTCACACCAACAGCATCAGCGAGAGCAGCCGCAGCAGAAGCACCAACAGCGGCAGCAGCCACTGCTGCTGCAGCAGCAGCAACAAGAGCAGCAGAAGCAGCAAGAACAGCAACAGGCATGGCGATGGCAGCAGCAGCAGCAGCAACAGCAAGAGCAGCAGCGTGTGGAGTATAAGCAGTTTCAGGAGCAGCAGTGGCAGCAGCTGGCTCAGCTGCATGAACGGCAGCAGAAGGAGCTCTTGCAGCACCAGCAGCAACACACGCAGCTGCTCCAGCACCGCCAGCAGCAACAACAGCATCAGCAGCAACATCAGCAACATCAGCGGGAGCAGCAGCAGCAACAGCAGCAGCAGCAGCATCAACCGCAGCAGCAACAGCAGCAGCAGCAAACCGTATCGGAACGTGCAGTTGTGGACGGCACTGGCGCGTCACCCTCTTCTCATTTGGCGCTCCAGGCGTCCAGCCATACCCAGCAGCATCAGCAGCAACCGCAGCAGCAGCAGCCGCGCGCAGAGGAGACAGCGGAGGCACAGCACGCGCACCTCTCTCCGCGCTCCCCGTTTCTTCCTTCCGCGACCACCCCCGCCGTCGCTCATCGTCCTCATCGTGTGTGCGACGCCTGTTCCTGCCAGCCCGCCGTGCTCTACTGCGCCGCCGACGACGCGTACGTGTGCGAGGCGTGCGACGTCTTCGTCCACTCCGCCAACCCCCTCTCTCAGCGCCACGAGCGCGTGCGCCTGGGCCCCAACGGCGCGCCGCTCAAGATTGACCGCAGAAGCGGGGGGGTGCCTACCGATGCGGCCGCCATTCTTTCGCGCCCCCCTGCTGGAAGGCGCGGAGAGTTGGCGCAGAGCCTGCTTCCGCCCGCAGACGAGTCTCGGGTGCGGGGCGGGGCGGCGGCGTGCAGTGACGCGGAGGAGGGCTTGGCGGGAAGCGTGGCGGGGCCGGCGGCGGGCGCGAATGGCGCGGAGAGCTCGCTGAGCGGGCTGCCGTCCAGCATGTCCGGCACCAGCTCCTCCTCGCACCCCCCCGCCCCCCGCCGCCCCGCTCACGCCCACTATCCGCCCGACACCAAAGGCGCAGCCCACGGCGGGGTGGCTGGCGGGGGCGCGGGTGACGCGGGGAGGGGAGCTGGTAGAAGGGGGAAAGCGGCGGATGGGACGGACGTCGCAGGGGCGAGCACGGTGATGCCGCAAGGGGCGAGTGCAGGCGGGGCTATGGGCGGTAGCTTGGGAATGAGCAGGATGATACGGGAGGGTGCTGCGGCCATGCATGCGCCACAGGATCATCACCCGCAGCATCAGCAGCATCAGCAGCAGCAGCAGCAGCAGTCAACTTCACAAACCCGAGAAGCCGCGGCACATGCGCAGGAGACAGGGGCCTCATGGTCGCTTGCTGCCTCTCCACGGCTCACAGCCTCCCTGCACCCTGCCTTGCCCTGGTCCAACGCAGCAGCAGGCGCGCCACATCCCCCCCTCACTCCGCCCATGGGGCCGTTCGCCAAGGTGCCTCTGGTGCGCGCACCTGCGAGCCCGTTCACCCCTCCCAGCGCCTACGCGGGCTGCCTGCTATCGCTGCCCAGCGCGGCGGACGTGAAGGCGCACGTGGCTGCGCATGTGCCGCCACCCCGCCCCTCGCCCCCCGCTCAGGCCGCCACTTCGGCTGCCGCACCGGCATCCAGTGCTGCTGCGACCGCTGGTGCGGCGGGCGGCGGGAGGGGCGTGGGGATGCATGAGGGGCGAGACAGGTCGAGGGGGGACGCGCGGGCAGAGAGGGAGGCGACTGGCGGAGAGGAGAAACAGGGGCGCGGAAAGGGAGAGGAGAGGCGGAAAGGCGTGGAAGCAGCAGCGGGGTGGATGGACGAGCGGGTGGTGCAGGTGTGCGGGGAGGAGGAGGCAGGGGAGGCGGAGCGAGCGGGCAGGCGTGGCGGCTTTGAGGAGTTCGATGACATTATGGGGGGCATGGCGTTGGGCGCAGAGCCGTGCGGCGGCATGGGCGGCGTGGGGCGGGTGGGCGCGCTGGACGACATCGACGAGGACGACCAGTTCGCGCGCGACCTCGCGCTCTGCATGACGCCACGCGCCCCCGCGCCACGCGCTGCCACGCCGCCCATCGCCTGCAACCCCTCCCGCGCTCTCCGCACGAGCCCACAGCTCGCGGCTGCTGCAGAGCAGGCGAAAGCCAGGCATGCCGACTACTGCACCCCGCCACCCGCAGCATCAGGTGCTGCTTCCCCATGCGCCATGTCCGCAACGGGGCCAGTGACGGCCGCGGCGCTGCAGCCCGCGCCAGGCCCCCATGCCCCCCGCACCCACGGGCTGCCCCTGGATGGGCTCAGGCTGCCCGCCCGCCCCGCCAAGCGACAGCACCTTGTGGCACTGGGGCTCGAGGCGGGGGCAGGAGATGCACACGAAGGGGAGGCAGCGGGGAGTGCAGTTGGGGGCAAGGGCAAGGGGGGGTTGAGAGGCACGGCAGAGGGCGGAGGGCTGGCGAGTATAGCGGAGGGAGGGGGGGCGAGCATGGGCGAGAGGGGAGCTGGTGGTGCAGGGCGTGGGGCGACGAGGTGTGAGGCAAGGACGCAAGGGGGAGCAGTGTGCGGGGTGCAGGGGGCGGGGATGGTGTGCACTCTTCCCTGCTCCCTGAACTGCCCACAGCAGCACATGCACCCCCCCATGCGCCCCCACGGCCTCACACCCTGCCCATCACTGGACCGCCTCAGTGCCTCATGCTCTGTTACCCCAGCGTCACCCACTGCTGCTGCTGCGTGCATGTCCGTGAGCCACCCCGCGCCGCATGCCCCTGTTACCAGCTTCGTGAGCTCGTCTGCTGCTGCTGCGTGTGGCGCGGCGGCATCAGGCGTGGCGCTGTCGGAGTCGGTGATGGACACGCGGGCGGCTGCCTCCCACTCCCACGGGCAGGCCGGGGATGAGGACGACGCCGATGCAGTGCAGCAGCGCAACGCAGCAGGGAATGGGTGCTCGGTGGAGAGAGGTGCAGAGTGGTGGAAGGGCAGCGAGGGCAAGAGAGTGCGGGAGTGGAGTGAGAAGTTGGGTGGGTGTGGCGAGGGGGTGGGGGGGCTGTCATCGGGGGAGGCGGAGGGGGGAGTGGAGGAGGTGGAGGAGGTGGTGATGGAGGAGGGCGCGGTGGAGGCGCACCTCAAGGGCGTGGCGTCGCACCTCACCCTGCTCTCCGCACAGCCGCACTGCCGACCCGCGCAGGCGGACCAGGGGGAAGGGGGTGCAGGCAGCAGGGATGGGGCCGACAGGCGGGCGGCAGCAATTCGAGGTGTGATGGGCTGTCTGGGGGCGGGGGGCGGGGGAGTGCGGGGGTGTCCGTCGCTGCACCTCAACTACGCGGACATCATCAGCGCGTGGTCCGACCAGGGCCACGACGGCCAGTCGCCCTGGATGGACGACCGCCCGCCCTCTCCTGCCACATGCGCCCACCCCTCCGTGTACTCCGACCCCCAGGTGCGCGCAATCACACTTCCATCCCCAGGTGCTCTCCATGGCTGTTCCCATGTGCCCTGGTGAAAGGGGTGTGCAGGCCCAGCATATAAGCACACATGTACGTCCCCACCACTCACATTCCGGCTGGATGTGCGTCGATAACTCTCAGCACGTGCTTTTCCCCTTCCTGTGGTCCCCTCCCCTCCGTCCCCTCCCCTCCGTCCCCTCCCCTCCGTCCCCTCCCCTTCGCCCGCCACAACAGCCACTGCAGGCGGCGATGACCCCCCAGTCGGTGGTGAGCACGGGGCGGGAGGAGGGGCCAGAGGGCGAGGTGGGGGAGTCTGGTGTGCCGCGGGTGGCGTCCGTGCCGCATGGGCTGGACCGCGCTGCCAGCGACCTGCTGCTGGAGGAGGGGCAGGCGGAGGGGCGTGAGGCGCGCGTGCTGCGCTACCGGGAGAAGCGGCGCAACCGGCTCTTCTCCAAGACCATCCGCTACCAAGTGCGCAAAGTCAACGCCGACCGCCGCCCCCGCATCAAGGTGCGTACAAAGGGGGTATAGGGGGGAGGGAGGGAGGGAGGGAGGAGTTGGGCAGGTAGGGTTTGGGGAATGAAATTTGGTGATGAGTTTTAGGCCTTTTTGAAAGCAGTAATTGGGTGCTACCTGGTATGATGCTATCAACCCTCCTCCGTTGCTTGGCAGGGACGATTTGTGAAACGAGACTTGTGAATCCGCTGAAGGATGTTGTCTGCCGGGTCAAATATGGAGTGGCTACAAATGCTATTGCTACTGAATTGAATTATGTAGTATGGTTTGTGCTTAGATGTGCGAGTTACATAAGCTTTGTTGTTATTAAAGCTTTTATTTGTTATTGCCTTGTAGATGGTAGATGGGCCATTTGTCATGTTCCTGCACTGAAGTAGTTATGGAGGCAGATTGTACGGTGGTTGAACTGGTAATCCTGTTGGTCGCAGCCATGCCTCCACCCGCCGTGTGGTGATTGCCGAGCAGGATGAGAGGCATGGAGCAGCCGCGGCAGCGTCAGTGCTTCAGCATGCGGCGTCGGAGATTGCGTCGGGGCGTCTCAGCTAGTTGAGAAAGCAGCCTTCCTCCCCAACAGTCCGCGCGTCTTTGATCCAACGCTCTACCGTCACTGCGTCATCGTCTTCGTTCCCGCCGTTGCAACCATCTGTGCGCCGTTGCAACCATCTGTGCGCCGTTGCAATCATCCATACATCGCGTCCCGCCCCCCTCGTCCCCCTCGTCCCCCTCGTCCCCCTCGTCCCTCGCGTCCCTCTCGCGTGGCGGCGGCATGGCGGCGAGCGGCGGGGGGTTCAACATGAGCGTGTGCGTGGCGGCGTGCGCGTCGCTGCAGCCGTGTCTCGACACTTGCTACGTCTACGACGGCTGGCGCGCCCCGCCCTCGCTATCGCACGACGTCGCATTCTCCATCGCAGGTACGTCGCCCACAGTTTCCGCCCTGTCGGCTGGCCGCCCTGTAGTCGTTTCGCCTCGTCCCCTCGCCGTCGCCGTCGTCGATGCGTGTCTCCTTGCGTGTCTCCTTGCGTGTCGCCTTGCGTGTCGCCTTGCATACCCCAAACCCCCCCTCCATGCCCCCCGCTCCACCACCCTACGCGGCGTGGCAGGCGGCGTGAGCGTGGTGGGCGCGGCAGTGGCGGCGTGCATCATGGCCAGCACGCTCGCGCTCGACCTGCCCTCGCTGCAGGTCAGCGTCCCCCACTCCCCACTGCCCACTGCCCTCGTGCTTCGCATCGCCGTGCTTTTTGCCGCTTCCTCACCCGTGCTCCTCTGTGCTGTGCGCGGACCCGTCCACATGCAGGCGCTGGCAGGCGGGAGAGACAAGGCCGCGCGCAGAAAGGTGCGCTCCAACCCTCGCCTTGCCGCCTCCTCCGCGTCGTTCTGCCGCCCCTTGTCGTCTCGCCTCCCCCTTTGGCCGCACAGGCTTTCACTCAATGGGGATGCCTCTGCACAGATGACTTTTCCCTCATCACATGCTGCCACCCATGTGCTCCCACAGCTGCTACCCATGTGCTCCCACAGCTGCTACCCATGTGCTCCCACAGCTGTTAGCCATGTGCTCCCACAGCTGTTAGCCATGTGCTCCCACAGCTGTTAGCCATGGCGTGCGCATGCCATCTCTTCCCGTGTCTCTCTCACCACCTTCCTTCTCCCCCTCGCCCCCTGTCCGCACCTCGCTGTTGGCTTGTTGCCAACTGGCCACCGGTGTGTGCGTGTGCCCCGCCAGGCGCGCGCAGTGCTGCGGGTGCGGCGCCACGGCAACCTGCTGCTAGCCGCGCTGCTGCTCGCCAGCTGCCTCGCCTCCACCCTCGCCGCCGCCGCCTTCACCGGTACCCCGCCCCCCCTGCCAGTGCTTTCATGGCGCCTGCCGGTGCTTTCATGGCGCCTGCCGGTGCTTTCATGGCGCCTGCCGGTGCTTTCATGGCGCCTGCCGGTGCTTTCATGGCGGCTGCACATTCTCTCGCACCACCGCGCTCCTCGCCCCTGCCACACTTCCCTGCCACCATGGCGCCATACAGCATGGCAGCATGCTCCCTTTGACTCGCTCATTTTCTCAGCCTCCCCTCCCCTGCCCTCGCCCCTGTCCACCCCACACTGCCTGTGTGCGTGCCCCAACTTGTGCAGAGCTGTTGGGAGTGGGGTGGGGGTCGCTCTGCGCCTTCTCTCTGCTCTTCCTCTGCGCTGAGATCCTGCCCCCCGCCCTCTGCACCAACCGGTATCCCCCCAACCTGTTTGCACAGGTCTAAGCCTAACCCTCATACTCGCCATGTCATCATCCCCTCCTCCCCTGTTTCGCCATTTCCCGTGATCCACTGCCGTCATGCATCACATGTCTTTCACTCCAATGGGGAAGTCACAGAGTGAGCTCGAGGGTGAATGCCTCTTTCCAACTCGTCCTCCTTCTCTCCCCGTTGTCCTTTCCCCCCCCCATCAGGAGTCTGCAGGTGGCGGGGGCCACGGCGTGGGCGGCCATGGCGGCGCTGATAGTGCTGTTCCCAGCAGCGTGGCCTGTGGGGCTGCTGCTGGACTGGCTTGTGGCGGGCAGCGGGCACACCCCGGATTATGGCGATGGGGTTGTGGTGAGGCTGGGGTGGGGGAGCTGGGGAGGGGGGTAGGGCGGGGGGGGAATGGTGGCATGGCAATGAGGGTTGGCATGGAGATGCGCGTGAAGAACAATGCGCGCTGCACTCTCGCCTCCGTCCTTCCCTCCATTCAGCCCTTCCGCCCTGCCCTCGCCACCCGCTCCTTGCCTTGCGCTGTGCCATGTCTGTCTATCTGCCTGTCTGTCTGTCTGCCTGTCTGTCTGCCTGCCTGCCTGCCTGCCTGCCTGCCTGCCTGCCTGCCTGCCCGCACGCCCGCCCGCCCGCCCGCCCGCCCGCCCGCCTGCCTGGCTGCCTGCCTGCTTGTTTGTCTGTCTGTCTGCCTGTCTGCCCTGTCTGTCTGTCTGTCTGCGTCCCCGTGCTCGCAGAAGTGCTGCCTGGCTCCCGAACCTCAGCAGCAGGAGGACGACGAGGGAGGGGGCGACGCGTGTAATCCAGGGGAGAAGGGGTGGGGTGGAGAGAAGGAGTGGGGAGCAATGGATGCAGAGGGGGAGGTGGGAGAGAGGAGGTGCGGGGAGGGTGTCATTGGTGGTGGTGGCGGCAGGAAGGAGAGCAGGCAGGGGGAGGGCGAATACGAGTGGGAGGGGCAGGAGGGGACGAGCGTGGAAGCTTCTTGTGGAGGGGCACGTGGCGATGGGGGCGAGAAGGAGGTGTGCAGGAAGAGTGGGGGGGAGGAGGTTGATGGGATGGGTAGTGGTGATGAGGGGGCGAGCAGCGGGCGTGCGGCGGTGCAGATGGTGGCGCTGCACTCATCCCTGCATGCCGCCCCTTCGCCATCACCTTCCCTCACTCTCTCACATGCCGCCCTCGCTGCCCCGCCCTCCCTCCCACCCCATGCACCTCCCCCCTTCCTGCACGCCTCCGCCCTCTCGTGCCCTGTGCCCCCTGCCGGCCCCCCTCCACCGCCCCAGTCCCCCCCAGCGCCGCCCCCCTGGTTCCTGCAGTCGTGGGAGCACGCTGCCGTGTGGGCGCGCCTCGCTGCTGTGCCGCCCACACCCGTTGCCCCGGGAGCCCTTCCCGGTGTGTCTGCCCCTGCAGTGCAGGCTGCTGATCGGAGTGCAAAGGCCCGGGGGGGGGACAACATGCATCAAGTGAGCGAGAGCAGAGGTCAGCAGCTTGCTGATTCCACCGCCCCCCCAGCTGCCGTCCCCCCTCTTCCCCTGTCGTCCTCCACCCCCCTGTGGCGCCACCGCCCCTCCCTGCCCGCTGCTGGGCCCTCCTCCCGTGAATCAAGGGCCCCCACCAACCCGAGCGCATGAGCCCATGGCTGCGGTGGCTCCCCCCCCACTCACCGACCCAACAACGCCCCCAAGCAAGCACCTGTTTCCAAACGCCTGAAGCAAGCACCTGGTTCCAAACGCCTGAAGCAAGCACCTGGTTCCAAACGCCTGAAGCAAGCACCTGGTTCCAAACGCCTGAAGCAAGCACCTGGTTCCAAACGCCTGAAGCAAGCACCTGGTTCCAAACGCCTGAAGCAACTGGCCCCTCGAGACAGACTGCAAGACTAACACACGCTTTTACAGCGCCTAGTGTTGCTGCCATAACAGTGCTCTCAGTTGTACTGCAGCATTGGGGATGCTGAGCAGCTGTACCTCAGAAGTACTGTAGATGTAAAAACATGACAGTAGACGTACAGGAGCTTGTACCTTGTGTGCATAGTGAAGCAGAGCTGCCTGCAGGCAAGGTGTGATAAAAGGAGATTGCAGACTAGAGAACTGTGGTGTAGAAACGTAATGGCCAGCTACACATGCACACCGTGAATTTATAAAAAGAATTCATAAATGGAGTGTCAGAGATGGGGTTCGAACCCATGCCTCTTGCGAGACCGCAACTTGAGTGCGGCGCCTTAGACCACTCGGCCACTCTGACACGAACATGAGGTTCCAAAAGCATTTAATTCAAAAAAACAAATTTACCCAGTTCCATCGCTGATTGTTTGTGCGGTTCCATTGTCACGATGGATGATCAGCAACCGCAAGAGGCGCAGGCAGAGCAGCCCCAGCAGTTGCCGCAGGCAGGGCACGAGGCTCAGCAAGCGCCGTATGAGCACCACGAGGCGTACCAGCAGCAGCAGCAGCATCCGCACTACGAGCAGCAGCAGTATCAGCAGCAGTACCAACAGCAGCAGTATCAGCAGTACCAGCAGCAGCAGCAGCAGCAGGCACAGTACTACAGCTACGACGCCAGTCACTCGCACTACCCCCCCCAGCACCTACCGCACCACCCTTACGCTTCCCCTCATGCAGCCTCCGCTTATCCCTCCACCCCCTACCCTCCCTCCGCCTACCCCCCCGCACATTCCTATCAGCCATCCCCGCCGCCCGCCTATCCACCCGCTCAAGACTCCGCTTTCTCCGCTCCTTCTCCTCTCGCCGCCTTCTTCGACCCGCGCGAGCCGCCGCCCGCCGCCGTGGCGCCGCCGGCGAGGGAGGAGGTGCGCGGGCGCGTGGAGAAGGCGGCGGAGTACGCCGCGAAGAACGGGCCGCAGTTCGAGGCGCTCATGCGCGACAAGCAGCGCGGCCACCCCACGTACGGCTTCCTGGAGCCGGGCGGGGAGGGCGCGGACTACTACCGCTTCCGCCTCTGGTGCGCTCTCTCTGGCGCGGGGGGCGCGGACGCGGCGAAGTGGGGGGAGGGGAAGAGTGGGGCTGATGGGGAGGCGGAGAGTGGGGGGGGGAATCAGGGGGAGAAAGGCGGAGAGCGGGGAAATGTGGAAGGGAAGGTAGAGGGGGTGCAGGAGGGGGGGAAAGAGGCAGCAGAGGGCGCGGTGGGCGCGCACCAGGCGCAGCCGGGCTCTGAGGCTCCTGCGGCCGCCCATCCCTCCGCCGATTCCGCCCCTCCCCTTCCCCCGCAGCCCCCAACTGCTCCCCAAGAGGCGGAGGCGGACATGGCGCTGCGGGCGGCGGTGGCGGCGGCGGGGCTGCCGCTGGACGTGGGGGGCGAGGCGGTGGCGACGCTGGCGGGGCTGAGCGGCACCAAGGACGCCATCAAGAGCGCCAAGGCGTGGGTGGCGTGGCGCGGCGCCATGGGGTGGGCGCCGCACATCGCGTGGGTGCTGAGGGAGCGCATGGCGGCGCTGAGCGGGCAGCCCGAGCGGCAGCTGCACGTCATCTACCTCGTCAACGACGTGCTCTTCCACAGGTGAGGTGTGCTCTTCCACAGATGCTCTTCCACAGGTGAGGTGTGCTCTTCCACAGGTGCTCTTCCACAGGTGAGGTGTGCTCTTCCACAGGTGCTCTTCCACAGGTGAGGTGTGCTCTTCCACAGGTGCTCTTCCACAGGTGCTCTTCCCCAGGTGCTCTTCCCCAGGTGCTCTTCCACAGGTGCTCTTCCACAGGTGCGCTCTTCCACAGATGCGCTCTTCCACAGGTACGCTCTTCCACAGGTGTGCGCCGTGGGCCGCATACCGCTGCTGCCCACCTGACCGCTGACTGTCTCGCCTCCCCCCCATCATTGCCCATCTGACAGCACTTTCCACCCCTCTCTCTCCGCCCCTCTCTCTCCGCCCCTCTCTCTCCGCCCCTCTCTCTCCGCCCCTCTCTCTCCGCCCCTCTCTCTCCGCCCCTCTCTCTGCGCCCCTCATCCTCTCTCCCCCCCCTCCAGTCTGCAGCAGCGGCCACAGCCGTCGGCAGTGGACGCGGTGGCGGGGGCGCTGCAGCCGTGCCTGGGCTTCATGCTGGCGGCGCTGTTCCACGGGGGCGGCCAGCAGCAGAGCAGCAACCAGGAGCGCCTGGGGAAGATCCTCGCCTTCTGGGCCACCAAGGAGGTGTACCCGGGGGAGGTCATGGCGCACCTCGGCGCCCTCATGCGCCTCCCGCCCCACCAACACGCCCCCATGCCACCTCCACCCCCCCCAGGCCCCCCACTCCCTGCTGCGACCCCTTTGGACTACCACGGCGCAGGCAAGTGGACTGTGGGCAGTGTAGTATGGGGAGGGTTTGGGTTGTGGCAGTGACATGCGCTTGGAGCGTGTGATGAGCGGGCTCTCCAATGCGCCAAGCAAGCACTCTTTGCGTTGCACCCACCCATTCGCCCAACACGTTGTCCCTTCCCTGTGCTTCCGCTCCCCCTCCCCTGTCCTTCCTCCAGTGCCATACCCGTCCGCCCCACTGCCGTATGCGCATCGTGCTGCCATGCCGCACCACGCCCCTCCCCCACCCGCATGGCCCCCTCACCCGCCGCACATGCCCCCCATGCCTCACGATGCAGCAGCCCCTGCCTCTGCGCCTGTGGCTGCCAACCCCCCTCCCTTCTCTCCTTCCCCTGCGCCTGCCACTCACCCCGCACATCTCCCCTCGCTCTCACCGGCAGCCCCCAGCGCCCCCGCTCAGCCGCAGCCCCCCACCTCAGATGCCGCCCCTGCAGCGCCCGCCCCGCCGCCCGCTGAGAAGCCACCGTACCCGCTGTTCCCGCCGGGGCTGATCCCGGGCATGGTGCGCAAGAAGCAGGTGGGGTCGGGCGTGCCGTACGCGCCCATGGCGCCGCACGACATCCCGTCCAGCATCCCCCCGCCGCACGAGTCGGAGGAGTACCTACGGCGCCGCATTGCCAAGTTCTTTAGGGCCATCGGGGAGAAGGACCCCATGGCGGACGGCCAAGAGGAGGAAGAGGAGCCGGACGAAGTCGATGGAGGGAGGGGGATTCTTGGAGCAGGCATTGGGAACAGAGTGCACGGGCATGGCGGGGGTGGGCTTGGCGGTGGAGGCAGAAGGGGCTCGGGGGCCAAGCCACGCGCGTTGTCACCACCACCAGCGATGGGAATGGAGGGGGGAGGGCTTGGGCTGGGCATGGAGGTGGACCCGGAGACAGGCATGCTGCCGGATGGCAGTGTGGTGCAGAAGCCCGGCATGGGGGGGGCACGCCTGGGACTGGGTGCTGCCGTGGAGGCCGATGCTCCGTCGCAGTATGATGATGTGTACTCGAGTTTCCGCCGCATGCTCAGCTCCTCCTATCACACTTCCATTAGTGAGAGGGCTGCTAGGAAGTACGAGCGGTAGCATACCAAGGAATATAGTGGCTTCAAGAGAACATTTCTTGGTGACTGTAGGCTGGGAATATTTTTTATGAATTAATCAGAGTAATAACAGGTAGTGTAATACAGGAGTCGTGATTCAAGAGTGCCGATACAAATGAGGGCCTAGGCATTTATAGGCACGAATAGAGCTAGCTGAGAACCACACGAGCAGTCCGGTTGGCGAAAAACACGGAAGCGCCGCGCATCTAGGTTTGGGTTCACGAAATGGTTCGGGACCGAAGAAGTTGGCCGAGCCTGGACTTCCGAGAGGCGAGGGCGTACGCGCTGTAGTCGAGCCCAGTAAGGAAAAGGGAATCTCCTTACACCACCCCCCCTTCCGGGATGAGACTGTCGAACATGTGCATCTCTAATGTTTGTATAGACTGTATAGGGTCACCTCTTAGAGTGTACAACACTTAGGTATATACCCCTGTACTCTCCCTCTCTCACTAATTATTATTTTCAGTTCTAAGATGGTATCAGCAGTAGGTAGGTCCCACCGCCCGCCCACGCTTCCGCTCTAGGACCGACCCGCGCCCTACCGCCCGTCCTAGCCGCGCCCGTCCTAGCCGCGCCCGCGCGCCCGCCCTAGCCGCGCCCGCGCGCCCGTCCTAGCCGCGCCCGCGCGCCCGCCCTAGCCGCGCCCGCGCGCCTGTCCTCTCGGCTCCGTCCGTCCTAGCCGGCCCCTCGTGCCCGCCCTCACGGCCCCCGCGCCCGTCCTAGCAGCCCCGGCGCCCGTCCTAGCGGCCCTCGCGCCCGCCCTAGCGGCCCCTGCGCTTGTCCTAGCCGGCCCCGTGCCCGTCCTAGCCGGCCCCCGTGCCCGCCCTCATGGCCTCCGCGCCCGTCCTATCCGCCCCGGCGCCCGTCCTAGCGACCCCAGCGCCCGTCCTAGCCGGCCCCGTGCCCGCCCTAGCGGTCCCCGCACCCGCCCTAGCGGCCCCTGCGCCCGTCCTAGCCGGCCCTGTGCCCGCCCTAGCGGCCTCCGCGCCCGTCCTCTCGGCCCCTGCGCCCGTTCTACCCGGCCCCGCGCTCGCCCTAATGACCCCGGCGCCCGTCTACTCGGCCCCTGCGCCCGTCCTGGCCGGCCCCGTGCCCGCCCTAGCCGACCCCGTGCCCGCCCTCTCGGCCCCCGCGCGCTCCCTCTCGGCCCCTGCGCCCGTCCCCGCCGGCCCCGCGCCCGTCCCGTCGGCCCTGCGCTCGCCCTACCGGCCCAGCGCCCGCTGCTCCTGGCCCCTGCGCCCGTCCTGCCCCGAGCGGTGTGCGGCCCGCTCGTCGTGCCTGCTCCGGCCCTGCACCCTCCCTGGTCCGGTTCTCCATCACCTTGCACCGCACTGTACCGCACTGTACCGCACGGCACCGCACTGCACCACACGGTACCGCACTGCATCGCACTGCACCGCGCTGTACAGTCCTGCACTGCTCCTGATGGCGGCGGAGCTCCGCTTCGACGCTGAAGGCCAGCCTCTGGAGTTCGAGGCGTGGCTAGCCGACCTCCGCCGCCACCTCACTGGCCAGCGGCAGGATGGCCACTCGCTTTCGGCACACCTTGACGGTACGCTCCCCTGCCCAGACCCCCCTGCTGTGCTGCCCGCTGATCCCACATCCACTGAGCGTGAGTCTACTGCAGCTGCTGCCCTTGCGCGCACTGTCTGGCTTTCCCGCGACGCTGTCGCACAGCTTGCCATTAGCAACGCCCTCCCCCCGTCTGAGCGCCCTCGCTTTAGGTCCATCACTACCGTCCAGGATTTCTTAGATGCCGTCATCCAGCGCTATTCCACCCCTCCTGCTGCCTTGGTGGGTCGCCTGATCCTCCCGATGCTCTTTCCTGACCTTGCGTCTTTCCCCACTGTCGCTAACCTGGCTGCTCACCTGCGCATGATAGATGAGACCTGGCGCGCTGCCTGCACTGACGCACAGCTTAGCGCCCACCAGCCGCCTATTACCTCTTCCCTCCTCCCGCCTCCCTGACCGCCTTGCCGCCGCCCGCGACCGCTTCCTTAGCATTCACCTCGGTGACCTCACCCTCACTGACTTTGTACACACCCTGACTGTGATTGAGACCCGCCACAGCTCTATCGCCCAGGCGAGCGGTACTGTGCCGGTCCCTATCTTTCAGGGTTGTGCCCCCGCTCAGTGCACCTTCTCTGATGGTTCTGCCGCTGTGGCTGAGACCGTTGCTGCAGCGCAGTTACGTCCGGGGAAGGGCCGCCGCCCCAAGGCTGGGCGCGGCGGAGGAGGAGGGGGTGCAGGTGGGGGTGGTGGTGGAGTCGGGTCGTCTGGTGCTGGAGCGGACAAGGGGACCCTGCCCGGTTCAGCTGAGCAGCCGCCGCGGCCATCGCAGCAGCACCAGCAGCTGCATCAGCCGCCGCAGCAGCAGCAGCAGCCGCATCAGCCGCAGCAGCAGCAGCAGCCGCAGCAGACGAGGCAGGCGAGTGCCCTCCCGCCCGGGTGGCCTGGTGCTGGCGGTGGTCGTGTGCGTGGTGGTGTTCCAGGTGGTGGTTCGGGAGGCATGCGCTGTCAGTAACTGATCCAGACCGGTCCTCGCCGCGGCTTCGTTTGTGGTAAGATCGGTCATACCACTCCTCGCTGTTTTCGTCGCCTGGACGACCTGTTTCGTCAGCGCTTCGGCCCGTCCCCCGACCTCCCGGACTAGCACAGTTTGCTTAGTCGTAGGATTCAGATTTTTGACATGGACATGGATGCCATTGTTTCTGCCCTGCATGTGATGTATGCTGATGACTCTAGTGTGCTTCCCGCTTATTACTCCTTGTCGTCTAGTGTAGGTGTGCCTAGCCTAGCCTCCCCTGCTCCGTCAGGCGTAGGAGCTCTTGCTTTGTTTAGTCTTGGTGCTTCCACCGTTGCCCCGTCGCCGGACGCCACTGCTTTGCTTTCCTTCACCTTGGACTCTGGCGCTTCCCGGTGTTTCTTCCGCGACTCCACTACGCTGACGCCGCTTCCTGTTCCTGCTGCAGTTTCTCTTGCTGACCCCTCAGGCAGTCCCGTCGTCGCCCGCAGTTCCACCACCCTTCCCTGTCCGGCGGTTCCTTCGGGCTCTCTCACAGGCCTGCATATCCCCTCGTTCTCCAGGAACCTAGTTGGTGTCGGCTGCCTCCAGGATCTCGGCGTCACCACTACGTTCCCTGGTCACAAGCGGTATGCTGTCTGTACCGAGACCGCCACTGGTACCCCCCTGTCCACGTTCCCCCGGGACCCGGTGTCCGGCCTGTTCACCCTGGACACCGTGGCCCCCCCAGCTGGAGCGCCCCTTCAGGTGGCTGCGTCTACCCAAGTTGCTGCTGCCTGTTCCTGTCGGTCCCTCACTCACCCGACTCTCCTTTGGCACCACCGCCTAAGTCACCCTGCGCTTCCGCGGCTGCGTCACATGTCCTAGCACGGTCTCGTCCTTGGTCTCCCTGGTTCGTTCCCCGAGTTTCCCTCCTCCCCCGCCCCACCGTGCACGCCTTGTGTCGAGGGTCGGCTTCGCCGTGCCCCTCACTCCTCCTCGTTTCCCCCTACCGCCGCGCCGCTGCAGACCCTGCACATGGACGTCTGGGGCCCCGCCCCCGTCCATGGGCCGCGTCGCGAGCGCTACTTCCTCGTGCTTGTCGGCGACTTCACACGCTACACAACTGTCTTTCCCCTGGAGCGGAAGGTCGACATGCCTGACACTCTTATCCCCTGGCTTGTCACTGCGCGTGTCCACGGTGGTCTCCCTGTCTTGTGTCTTCACTCCGACCGTGGTGGCGAGTTTGCCTCAGGTTTCCTTGGTCGCTTCTGTCGTGCGGAGGGCATCACCCAGACGTTCACCCTGCCGGACTCCCCGCAGCAGAATGGGATCGCTGAGCGATGCATCGGCTTGGTCATGGAGGTGGCTCGTACCTCCATGATCCACGCCAGTGCACCCCATTTTCTATGGCCATTCGCGGTTCACTACGCCGCTCACCAGCTTAACCTCTGGCCGCACCCCCAGCAGCCGCAGGTTTCACCAACCCGTCTTTGGACCGGGTCTCTCTGGTGACGCGTCTGCGTTCCACGTCTGGGGCTGCCTTGCTCACGTTCGTGCCTCCGGCACGGACAAGCTCACTGCCCGCACCCTTCCCTGCGTCTTCCTAGGTTTTCCCCTTGACGCGTCCGACTGGCACTTCTACCACCCGCCGTCTCACCGCTTCTTTCTCTCTCGCGACGTCACCTTTGACGAGTCCGTCTCCTTCTACCGTCGCTTCCCCCACCGCGGTCCCCCGATTACTCCCCCACTGTTCCTGGTCACTCCTTCCCAGGTGGTCCATGCCCCCCCTCCTCCCCCTCCCCGTCCTGCCCCCTCCGGTGTGTCTCACGTCACCCCCCTCCCGTCGGTTGTCCCAGTTGAGGAGTCTTCTGACTCTGGTGGTCCTGCGGCACAGTCCTCGCCGTCTGCACCTCCCCAGGCGTCACCTCCTCCGCCGCCTGTGCAGCCGTCGTCGCCTCCGCTGTCACCGCCGTCGTCGCCTCCGCCGCCGCCGCCGCCGCACTTGTCGTTATCGCTGCAGCCGTCGCCGCCGTCGCAGCAGCCGTTCGTTGACTCTGGGGGTGCTGGCGTTGGTGTGGGTGCTTGTCCCGGTGGCCCTGGGTGTGGTGCCGGTGCTCGAGGGGTTTCGGGCTCTGGGGGTGTTCCTTCTAGGGGTGCTGACGTGGAGTGTGCCAGCGGTAGCCGAGGAGCAGCTTGCGGTCCCGGTGTCGGCGTTGTGTCGCCGTAGCAGCAGTCCCCGCCGGTGTCAGCCCTTCGCCTGCTCGGCCTTCCGTCCCATGACCCTGCATCTGTTCCTCCCCTGCCGTCTCCTCCTCTTCCTGTCTACGGCCCTGTGTTCCCGCCGCCGGACTCGTCCCCGGCTCGTCTTCCCCCTCGTTCCCCCCTTGTGTCCCCTCCTCTGTCTCCTGACCCGACTCCTCCGTCTCACGTCTGGTCTTGCCGTCCCTCCCGTGCCCGACCTGTCTCCCCTGTCTCGCGCTCTCACGCTATGTTGCTTCGTTCCCACGCGTCTCGTCCTCCCCTGCTCCCGTCGCCTCCTCCGTCCTCCCTTGTCGTTGCTCCCCCCCCTCTGTCTGACTACCTGCGTGCCGCTCATCCTCTTGTT